GGATTATGATGCTGGCTGAGGGGAGGAGATGTGTGGGAGGTTACCAGGACAGGATTGGCTACTGTAATAATTACTGTAAATCCCTCCCTTGCATGGGAGCATGCTTTATAAGGAGACTGTGATTAAAGGCTTGTCAGTTCTGCTCCTGAAACTGTGTGTCGTCCAGTTATTGGGATTGCTGTGGGGAGATTGCTGTTATTTTACCTGCTGGAAACTTTGCCTATGGATTTATTATTTACTTGTTCCTGAGCCTCACTTGGATTATAAGCGGAGATAACCTGGGGAATATTGCATCTCCGCTACAACGATACACTCAATTTTGGAATTATCCATCTTCAGGGAATGAGGTGAAATAACATATCCTAGAAAAGAGATTTCAGTGACTTCAAAAAGGCATTTCTTGGGTTTAACGTATAATTTGTGTGTTCTCAATCTAGATAGGACCCATCTTACATGCTTCCTATGTTCGTCCAGATTGTTGGAATATATTAAGATATCATCTAAATAGATAATAACACATACGTCCAATAGATCTCTGAATATATCATTTATAAAATGTTGAAATGTTGCAGGGGCATTACAGAGCCCAAATGGCATGACAAGATATTCGTAGAGACCATATCGTGTCCGGAAGGCGGTCTTCCATTCATCATCCTGTTTTATTCTAATAAGGTTGTATGCGCCACGGAGGTCTAATTTAGTGAATATAGTAGCGGTTCTTAATCTTTAAATTAATTCATTTATTAGAGGGAGAGGATAACGATTTTTAATAGTTATTTTGTTTAAGGCTCTATAATCTATAATGGGACGAATGGTTTGGTCTTTATTTCTCACAAAGAAAATACTAGAAGCAGCAGGGGAGGTTGAAGGTCTGATGAACCCTTTATGTAGATTTTCGTTGAGGTATTCTTTTAAGGTTTCTAATTCCTTTTCAGAGAGAGGATAGATATGCTCATAAGAAATTGGAGCTCCGGGTATGAGATCTATTGGGCAGTCATATACCCGATGAGGTGGTAGTGTTTCGGCTTCTTTTTTACAAAAGACATCTGCTAAATCGGAGTAGAACGTAGGTATAACTGGTTCTTTAGTAATTTGGAGAATGGGAATATGTTGTAAGCATGTTCTTTTACAGAAATCAGAGGTGAAAGAAATGGTGAAAGGAGACCATTTAATTATCGGATTATGGATTTTTAACCAATTAATCCCAAGAATGGCTGGATAAAGTGGTGATTTAATAACATCAAAAATAAGGAATTCGGAATGAACGTTGTTGGTAGTCATTCTTAGGGGAACTGTCTCATTTTTTATGGGACCTGAGGAGATATAGGAGCCATCAATAACTCTGACTGGGACAAAATTAGTTTTACGAACACAAGGGATTTTATTTTTTGTTACAAAGGAGTAATCAAGAAAGACTCCATTAGCGCCAGAATCGATAATGGCCTCAGTCATAATTCTTTCTGTGTCCCACTGTATTACGAGAGATATAGAAAAGTGAGTAGATGTTTTTTGAGGTAGAACGTTTAATAGAGAAGTAGCTGAATGATGCTTACCGCGTTTTGAATGTTTCAGTAGAGGACATTCTGGAATTAGATGTTCTTTTGAGGCACAATACATACATAGCTTTAATTGTCTCCTTCTTGTTCTTTCTTCAGAGGTAAGAGGACTTCTTATTATACCTACTTCCATAGATTCAGTTTGAGTAGGAATTTTTTCAGGCAATTTTGGAGGAGTGAAGAGTTTTCTCCAAGTTGAACTAATGAGAACTTTTTCAGCCTTTCTTTCTCTTAGGCGTCTATCGATACTAATGGAAAGTTGGATCAATGTGTTTAGAGTAGGAGGAAGTTCGGTACGGGAGAGTTCATCTTTTACCGCTTCGGATAATCCGAGACGGAACTGGTTGCGTAAGGTAATGTCATTCCATTGGGTTTCAGTAGCCCATCTTTTAAATTCTGCAATATAATCTTCAACAGGTCTATTCTTTTGTTGTAGGGTTCTGATGGTTAAATCTGCAGTAGTTTGTTTATAAGGATCCTCATATAGTAGAGACATAGCTTCAAAGAACTCATCCAATGAATCTAATATGGGGTCATCATTCTCTAGAAAGGAATGTGCCCAGGCCATAGGTTCACCTCTTAGAAAAGAGATCACTGAACAGACCTTAGATCTTTCAGTGAGATAAGATCTAGGTCTTAAAGCTATTAGAAGTTTGCAGGAATTCAAGAACTCTCTGTACTTTGATCTATCTCCATAAAAATTTTCTGGATTGCAGACAGCAGGATCGCTAGCCGATTGAAGAGCGGCATGTGGAAGATGACCTTGTATGTCTCTGACATAGGTTAGTATTCTCTCGTTTGTAATCTGCAAATCTTGTAAGCCCTGAGCAATTGTATCCACTCTATTTGTCAGGGCAGAGACTTGTGAGTTAATATCTGCTGGTTCCATTGGAAAGGCTGGATTATTCTGTAATGCTAAACTACTGGAACGCAACTGCAGAAAACTTTTAAATACTTCAATTTATAATTTTATTCTTTTTTGTTATTGAATTGCAAGAGTGGTTACTGTAGCTTTAAACCCTTATAGCAGGTTGTTAGTTGCAGAAAAAAATAAGCCACTGAAGTTTTGCATAAAGCCAAGCAGTCCCAATTAAGGATAGTGCAGAGAATGCATGCAGAATTAGAGTTGAATTAAATGCAGTAGAATTAGCTTCATGAGTGTTTAACAATGAGGCAGCTTTATATTTTGCAACTGAGAGAAAATTGGATTGAAGGAAAAAAGTACTTAGCTTCAGAAGCAGTCTCCAGAGTTCAAAAGTGCTCTGGATTTCTGAAAAGTGGCAAAACAGGAGGGAGGGAACATTAAGGGAATGATGGCAGGAATCTAACCCTACCCCGTTTTTTGAACTTACCTTACTTTATTAATTATCTTTTCCTTTAGTATGTACTGCAGTACTCTAGGGATGTCTGTGGGGTTGTGTGCATGTATATGAATTCTCAGTGGTGGTGTGCTTGTGGGGAGTGTGTTTGTGTGTGGGCCACAGCTCTGTGTATAACTAGCAATGTGGATAACTTCCGTGGTGTCCAGTGGGAACTGGCCTGGCCAGATCAAGTTCAGCAGCAGCTGTGGGCTGCTCTACTTCAGTGTGGATTCACGTTCAAGAGTGCTGGGAGGAGCTGATCTAAGATCACTTACTGTATGTGCTGCAATGCGCAAATTTAGGTTTGTCCCTCACCACCTGCAATTACTGCTTGGGTTGCAATAGCAGATATCTGCGATTTCTGATAGGCCATAACCTGTTTGTCTCTGGCGGCCTTGAGTGCAGTGCATAGCTCACTACAAAAATGTAAATTTGTTATATCGGGAGGAAATGCTGTACAACTGCTAATACAAAGGAAAAACAAACAAACAAAAAAAAAAAAACAGCGTTCCTAACATGTAGCAGCCCTACACAAAGAACAGAGCTACATTCTGCTGCTGCTTGCGGCACCTTACTTCCAAACACAGTCTCAACTGAGGACTCAATGTCTGGCCTGTAATGTTTAACACAAGACCAAGTAGCCATTCTGCATATATCCTCTGATGAAGCCATTGCTTTTTTTCGCCCAGATTATCACCATCACTTCAGTAAAGTGCCATGACTGTGGTGTCTGTGATCAATTGTGCAGTAGATTTTAGAGCTTGTAAGAAGAGTTTTTTAGTTCAAAAGAATATATTTCTGATCTCAAAAACACAGTTATTGTCACTGTGAACAAATATGATTTTGGTTATTATCCAACCATGTGTTTTTTGCAGCTCTTCTGTAGAACCCACATTTAGGTATCAATCGTCTAAATATGTGGCCAAATCCACTCTGTTTTCTTTTGTGTGAAGCTAGAGGAACCAAAAGCTTTGTAAAAAGTCTTAGTGATGTTGACAACCAGAACGGTAGAGCATTGAACTGGAAATGTAACATTTTTTCCCCAGAAATAAGTGCAAAATTGAGAAAGCTTCTTGACGACACCACCATGAGTATATGCATTGAGGCATCCTATAAATTAAGGTTGCCATAAAATCCCTCTTTTTTTTTTTTTTTTATAAATTCTTTATTTTATTGTGCGGAATTAACACAAGTGCCCACAGTGCCACAACAGCAACCAAAGGCATGTTTAGTAACAGTTTTCAACAGTAGGTTGGCATTAGTAATCATTGCACATTTTTATAATTTTATTGTCGTGGTGTCAGCTATGAGGCCGGGCATGTCCGGTCTAGAGGGAGCCAGTGACTGTTATCTTGGAGTGCAGATCAGGCATGTGTAGTTTTGTGTGTGTTTTTCAGGGTATTGACCTAAAAGGCGAGGTTTTGGGTGTATGGTATGAGGTCTGTTGTGTCCCCCTATTTGGTCTGTCTGTCGAGTCCCCAGTATGGGAGTGAGAGCTGTCATTGCAGACGTGAGTTGTCTCCGGCTGGTGCACATCCCCTATTGAGGGCTACCCCCAACCCCTTGTGTGAGTATGTCAGTCTATGTGTATAAGGTTTGGGCTTGGGGGGGGTGCGTTGATGGGCGACCGGTCTGTGGTGACACCTGCCATGCGTGGTTATGTGCCATGGCGTCAGGATCAGTTTTAACCGATGTGTCGGTGTATGGAGGCTAAGTCGAATGTGGTCATCACAGATGTGGTGTAATACATTAATAAGAAACAAGATAAAAAAAACAAGATAAAAAAAAAACAAAAAAAACAGAAAGCCAGTCAACTTGGGTAAGCCAAAGAGTAGATTGGGGTGAAGCTTGGAGGGTATCATCGTTGGAGTCCATAAGGGAGTAGAGCGGAACCTTCTTGATTTGGATGTCACATCTTGGAGGTTTGCTGTATTAGCAGTCTCTGAGGGTTGTGGCTATATTTTCCTTTGTGGTAGTCCCTCAGGGGGTCTTTCGTTGGTGCGTTAGACGGGTGGGAGCTCCTGGGATAAATTCAGCCACGGTAGCTGGGTCCACTCGGGTGAGGTCTGACCCTTCCATGTGGGCGGGCGGCAACAGTCCTGCATTGCGTAGGTGTGTGTCCAGTTCGGAGTAGCTCCTGGCTCGGTACGTTGTGTCCTGATGAGTAAAGGTAATCGTATTCGGAGACCCCCATTTGTACTGGATATTCTTATTTCTGAGGTGTTGTAGCAGGGGTTGCAGGGCCTTGCGCCACTCCATAGTGCTTTTGGTCAGGTCCGGGAATATGGACAGCGTGGCTCCCTCAAACGATAGTGGTGTTCTTCCACGTGCAGCCTCCATTAGTAGGGCTCTGTCATGTAAGGTCTGAAAGCGGAGTATTAGGTCGGTGTGTGCCGTGGTCGGCGCCGTTGCAGGCTTTGGTAGGCGGAACATGCCATCAAGTCGGACTGCTTTTGCCTGTTTTGGTGGCAATAGGTCCGCCAGCAGGCGTCTGATAAAGTGTGCTAGGTCTGTGGGGTTTATAGAGTCCGGGATACCACGGATCTTTACATTGTAACGTCGTCGCTGGTCTTCTAGCGTATTTATTCGGTCGTTGGCCACCTGTTGCTGCTGTTTCATCTCTGTTAGTGTTTGTTCCAGGGTCTTTATCCTGGATTCCTGGGTGTTCGATGTGGTTTCTAGCTGTGTGACCCTGGTGGTGACCCCCTCTATTGCCACTTTAATGCAGGCCATGTCGGCCGCTATATTTGTTCTGAGTTCTGCCAGCATGCTTTTAAGTACAGAGGCAGTAACTGGCTCTTCTGTAGGGGTGCGCTGAGGCTTTGAGGTGGGTGGTGGGACATATGCTGCACCTTCCCCGGGGTCTATGGAGAAGTCATCTGAGGAATAGGAGTAAGCTTCCTCACCTGCCGCCATTTTGTCCCATGCGGTCTTTTGCGAGCGCCGGAGAAGTTCCCCGATATCGTGGGTGGTAGGGTCCTTGTCAGCTCTAGTTTTTTTGTGCTTCCGACCCATCTTTGTTTCCCGTGTCGGGTAAGGGTTGGTGTGCCCAGGTAACTTCGCTAAGTGGCCTCGAAAAGCAGCTTTTGCGGTATCTGGCACGGAGCTCCTGGAGAACGCGTCCGCTCTGCTCCTCCGCTAGCTCCGCCTCCATAAAATCCCTCTTTTGAAGACTGTTATCGATAATATTTTTTAAATTTGAAATCTCTAATCTGCTTTACAATTGACCCTTTTCAGATTCAAAACTGGGAAAAACAATTTGTTTGGCTTTTCTACCAAAAGTATCTGGAGTATACTCCTTGAAATTGCTTGTTGTAAGGAACTTGATCTATTATTCCTTTCCGTTGGAGCTTTAAAGATTCTGTGAGCAATTCTTGTTCCCTGAGCAGATTTGTAGTGCCGGAACAAAGAAAATGAGCTGAAAGTTTTCTTGCAAATTTTTTTCTGTAGCTATTAGTTATGGTGTTTAGCACACATATTTTTTTGGCCTAGACCCACTTTTGACAGAACACCCAGTCACTGAAAATACTCTGCTTGTACGTTTTTCCCTTTTTAGTTCAGTTACCGAACAAAGTCCAGATTTTCCCCTATTATACCCCCGTACCCAACCCACCTTGGAGCTTGATAAATCTGTTGACCCCTCTTGACACCTCAATCATCTGTTCGCACCTAGTTATTTCAAGTGTTCTGCTGGGTGGCCTCCATTCACATGAACAAACACGTGGGAAACGAGTTGGCGTCAATCTAGTCGCACGAAAGCAGGCAGCGGTGTTTGGGTGTCGTGTGCATGGAATTAAAATCAGACAAACTAACTCGCGAACACCCCTGAACTTATATCTTTGCCTGCTTCTTTTCCAAATGACCTAGGAAAGCGCTCTTCAGACAAATGGTACGCACCAACTAATAGCTCATTCCTGGAATTAAGAGAATCCCTTCATTCATACGAACACAGAAACTCCCGAACAGAGACCGTCCACAGTCCCTTTCACTCTGGATCTGTTTTTGGCTACAGACTCGTGGCCGGTTGGTGAAAACTTTACCCAGATGGCGATTTCATTCTACTGAATGGATCAGAACGCTATTTGGACAACTTTGGCGCTCAGATCCAGGGTTATAAGACTTATGAGGGTTCTTGGACAAATATATATATGTTTTGGGGTATTTTCTGTAAGGGTCCCTGTAACAGAGATAATTGAGTTACTGGTCTTTGATTCAATTATCTCCCAGTCACAGGGACGCCGGGGAGGAGTCTATATTGAACTGTATAGAGATTTCCTGCTGGTGGTCTGTGTATAAATTGTGTGTACCATGTCCCATTGAACTTTCAGCATTACGTTTCAGCGAATGTATGTGGGGGAAAGCTATAATCATCACTCAGCAGCTGTAATCACTGAAGTCTTTGCAGCAGAGATCCAGAGAGGGGGAAAAGAACATCCTTGGAACATCCACTGTTCATAAAACCTCTGTATCCTGCCTCCTACGTTTATTCTGATGCTATAATTGTATCCCTAAATCTGCTTTCTGGTTATTTGCAACATGTTCTATGTCTGCTTACAACCCTGGAACACTGGGTCTAGTGCTTTACTTAAATTCACACCCTGCCAATTTGATAATTTTTATTGCAGAAAGGCTTGATTGCTGTGGATTGCAAAGGTTGAGATTTAAAGCACTTTTTCTTCCTATGAAAGACCTGATAGGATCAATTCCCATTGTTTATGAACTTGAGTGCTTGTTTAGATAATACTGATTTGTAACCGAAGGCTGCTACCCCATACCATGGAGCATAAAACTTGCAGTACTTCACCTGGAAGATTGAGACATACATATTTCACTGTGTGTTCTTTCTTAATTCTAGAGTTATTCCCTATTAAGATTTTTAGACATGTGGTTTCTCCATTCCAAACTGCTTTTTTTAAAATTCTTTATCATCGGATAACAGAGCATACACTGATAAGCAACAATATTAAAAGCACCAGCATAATATTGTGTAGGTTTTTGTGGCAGGGTGCATTATCTTGCTGAAAGAAGCCACTGCCATCAAGGAACACCAATGCCACAAAGGAACCAACCATGTACACAAAGGGATGTACATGGTCTGCAACAATCTTTGGGTAGCTAGTGTGTGTCAAAGAAACACCCATATAAATGCAGAGAAGCAAGGTTTCCCAGTAGAACATTGCCCAGAGAATAACATTTCCCATAGTGGATCCTGCTGCAATCTCTTTCCAGATAAACTACGCACATGCACCCGGCCATTAAGCTGATCTACAAGAAGACGTGACTCATCATACCAGACAACCATTTTCTATTTCTCCATGTTCCAGGTCAGACGCTCATGTTCCCATTGAAGGTGCTTTCGGCAGTGGACAGGGGTCATCATGGGCACTCTGACCACTCTGCAGCTATGAAGCCCCATGCGCATCAAACTCAGTTACATTGTGTGATCTGAGGCCTTTCTATCGCGGCTAAATTTAAGGTTACGTTGTTTTGAAATTCCAGCTACAGTAGTTCTTCTGTGTGATCCGACGGACTGGTCTTTGCTCCTGCCGTGCATCAGTGAGCCTTCGACGCTCATAATCCTGACACGGTTGTCCTTCCTTGCACCACTTATGGTAAATACCAACTACTGTATATCAGTTACACCCCCAAAAGACCGTTTTGGAGATGCGCTGACCCAGTTGACTAACAATTTGTCACGGGAGTCTTACCCTTATGGAAACTCATAAAAGGTGGACCCGAAAGACGTATTACGGAGCCTTAGAATGGCCGGACTTAACGTATGAATACAGCAAGGGCAAGGTCAGGGTAAGCCAAGGTCAAGAATACAGAAATACAGAGTAAATGCAAAGCTGGGTTAGGATAAAAGGAAAATCACGAGTCAAATACAAAGCGAAGTCAGGATACCAGAAATCAGTAGAAATGCAGTAGTGCGTCCAGGCGGTTCATGCGCAGGTAAGTTTGTACACCATTACTATTTGCCCATTGTCAAATTCACTCAGAACTTTTCACTTGCCCATGTTTCCTGCTTCCAAAACATGAAATTCAAGAAAAGATTGTTCAATTGCTGTCTAATATAGCCCATCCCTTGACAGTTGCCATTTTAACAACATAATCAATGTTATTCACTCCACGTGTTAGTGGTTTAAATGTTGTGGCTAATCAGTGTATAAGTACAAATATAATTTGGAACAAACCAACAATGGTTTTCAGTATTTTAACAGTAGTACTTGCAACATTTCTATTTTTACAGTGTACAGTTACATTGAGGTTTAGTGAACTAATGCTCCTAGCTTTTCTTAAACAACCCCCTTTCACATGGGTAATGTCATCATCCATATATGCTTCTGCCATTGCTCATTAGACTGCAAGTGTAATTTTGCTATAAAGGTTATGTTTTAAATAAGAGAAAGGACTGAGGACTTAAATCAGCGGATCTTCCAGATACATTCAAACTAGTTGTCCTAACCGCCTTCAAAGCGCTTCAATCCTTGGGCACTCATGCCACATATGCAAATAGGTGTGCAGCCTCTCTACAGGAAAGACCTGGTGTTCCATACCGCTACATCACCTCACAAATTCCTCTACAGTCAACGGGGCCCTAGAGGCCATGTTACCAAACAAGATTATTTCATTGCCTTCAGCTCTATATGGTCTTGCCTGCGACAGACCTAGCTTCTCAGACGGATAGGAAGTTCCTTGTTTTGTAGAATTGGGGACAACGGGGAAGGCGGTGAAGACGGGAATCTTGTGGATTCATCCTACGAAGCCAACAAGTTACAAATCAATGGTTATTTAATTTGAAGCAAGGGTCTCGGATGTCTAGCTAACTACCTAAAATTGTGTGATGTCAAGCTCGTCAAGTCAATTTCAAGACTTGTAACTTGGTTAAATGTGCTGCATAATAGAAGTACAGTAAGAATGGTATTGTAACTGTACAACATCTAATTCTAAAAATTACACTGCACCTGACAGTTAGGAGACCTAGATTTCAAAGATCATTGACTCCAGTGTAGTGCCATCTGTTTGTTACATATTGGTTATGGACATTGACTGATTTGCATATACATAAAATACAAGCAGAATGATCTGGAATTTGGATTTTACAAGTTGTGTGACAGTCATTGTTTATTGTGACTTTATGTTTTAGGTGAATTTTTTTTTTTTATATCTCACTACAAGTAAAATGTAGCACTTTTGAAGGTTAGTCTGTTTATAAATAAATCATCCAGTTTGTTTAGGAACAGTGTCTAAGTGTGGACCTTTCCAGGAGTCCAGTGGCAGAGTCTAAGGTCCTGTCTTCTGGCTGCACCGTTCCTTGGTGTTAGGGATCGGCTAAGGAGTAGTTAGACCAGTGGATATAAGAGCTAGGACTCAAAGCCAATAAACATCTTCATAAAAAAAGACTGTGCCAGCAGCAGGCAAAAACAGCTGCCTCAGTGGGCAGAGGGATCGATTCGTGCGTGGAAGACGGTTGGGCTCCCTGGTGCTAGAAGAGGGATCAACAACGTAGCTGGACAGATCTGGATCCCAAGCCAGGAAGACTGTTGGGGTCCCCGGTGCCGGAGGGAAGGACAAAGTAGCGGACAGGTTTGGATCCCAGTCGCACCCTGTTCCAGTGACAGGCATGTTTATTTCTTGACATTCACTTAAAACTAGTCTCTTAATGTATTGGAGAACAAGTTGCTAAACTCCAGTCAGGAGTACAAAAATTCCAGAATCCTTTAAAGCAACATAATTTCTGACAAATTATTTTGGGAGTGCATATACAGGCAAGTGTAGTACTCAGTCAAAAAACTATAACTGCTGTATGGAGTCATTCCCTGTGGTGATTGCTTAGGTTTTATTGTGCATTTTGTTACTAACATTGCACGGTTTTACCCCTACTAAGATTTGATGTTTGATTTTAGGGTTTTGATGGTAGCATGTACTTTATGTCTCTGTTTTTACCATTTGAGGATGCTCAGTATGTCTGTTAAGAATCTTGATACTTTTCACAGGCATACAGATGATGTAGGTACTCCCTCAGCATTGACTTGTGGGCTGCACATATCATTGCCAGTGTGGTATTAGGTCCAGATTTCTTGGAGAGAATAATCTACTTGAGGCTGGAACTTGAGCAGTAGTAAAGAGGAATAGGAATTCAGTCTAATAATTCATTAACAAATTTGGGGGACATTCAGATACGAAGAGTCCAGAAAATTTAAGCATTTTAGGTGCAAAGTGACAATTGGGAGTAGATTGCGTTGATATTCCCAGTACTGAATATTTGAGTTCATGCCATGGATAAACTGTGTGAGCCGTTTCAGGAGTACATTGTTAACCTTCTCTAAACATCTAAGTGGACCAACTGTTTACCTTAGGCTGGCAGGCAGCAAACTCAAACTTAACACCTGCTATTTTTGTAAAGATTAGCAAGAAATGTATTAGGAATGTATAAAGTGCAAGAAGCAACTAAAATTTGTCGTGAATACAACTAAAAGATGAGAGTTGTGCAAGCGGCTTTATTTTCATGGTCAGCTAAAGATGAAAATTGAAACACAGGTAACTGCAAAACAGATTTTCTCTGTTCATAATACAGGGAATAAAACGTCATATATATGCAATACAGAGGTTGATGTCACCAGTCATTAAGTAAAATATAATCATTGGTATTTTGTTTTTTCAATTCTAAGAATAGTAAAAATAAAAACTAAATCTGATAATAGAGATAATGCTAAAATGGGGGGAAAAATGCCCAAGACTTATCTAAAAAAAAAAAAACAGATGCACAGCAAAGCACAAGGTTGAGGTCAACACTCCCAGTCTCTATGTTTATTTACTCGATCTTTAACAAATATGTCTGCAAGTTCTGAAAAATAAAATGTAGAAATTCTGTGAAATATTTACTTGTATTTTTGAAAGAGGTATCTCTAATTTGGCTCCATGAGTCACTGTTATGAGACTGCTTTGCACCTACCGTAGGGAAATACAGAAAACAATAACATTTGTTTATTGCTGACTTGACTGGATTGTGATATTAAGTGCTAAATCTGTACTATAATACAAGAGCAGATAGAACATCACGTGATAAAAGGGACTCTTCAGTATGTAGATAAATGGAATATATGTTTGAAGACGAAGTCATGAGAAAGTCATGCAAGAGTTCAACACAAGGTAATCAAATTAGGATTGTCATTTTTTGTACTGTGTTAACAGGCCATGTAAGAAATGTTCTTAATCTGCATGTTGGAGTACTGCTAAATTGTTTTAGTAAAGGTGTGGAAGTACACTTGCCATCTTATTTTTCTTTTTTTCAAGGCAACAACTAAGAAGTTGTTGCTAGAGGTTATGATCTAATTTTTCACATAATCATATGAATATTTGCACTTATAAAGAGTAGCTAGAGACCCTATGCTTTCTTTACTCAGCACACCTAATCTAAACAAAAATTTAAATAATAAAAAAAAAAAAATCCCAAAATTGAGAACTAGGCATCTGAAGAATTCAACCAAGGTGAATGAGTTGTAGGAACTTGAAGACCAGAAGTGGTTCAGTTGTTTATTAAAGTAACTCTTACCACCTGCAGTAATTTGTTTTGATTGCAGATGAAGTCAGGAGCAATAAAATATGTGGGAATCGCTGAAATATTTAAACATTTTCATGTCTTCAAAAATCTTATATCATGGGACTTACCTGAAAATAGGTGTAGCCAATTACAGTATTCTAAATGTAGACAGCTTTTCTTCGGACATGATTCAGTGCAATCAAACATCCTGTGGAATGGTGTACCGGCTTTATATCTTTAGTGACAGTGTGATAACTTACCTTCATCTAGTTTCCAGCAACTGTGCCATGTGTAGTTTAATATAATATTTACAGACCTGGGAACATGTTAGTTGTTTTTTACCGAAACAAAAAGAATATTTAGGATTTCATGTCCTCCATATTCCAGATATTAACCGTTTGCATTTACGTACCAGTATATCAGCTAGTTAAGAGCAGTGGTAACCAGAAAACAAGTTTGAAACACAAAAAAAAACAAAAAACAGTCAGACCATCTCACCGGTAATTGTCAAAAAAACCTAACATATCCGCCTACCTCAAATCCTCATCGATGTAAGCTCTTTTAACCAAGGCCTTCTCCACCTTCTGTCTCCGTTATGTTTGTCAATTACATTTCAAATATCCTTTTCTAAAATTGTAAAGGGCTGTGGAATATGTTGGCATTAAATAAAACATGACGATAATAATAAAATTTACTTTTCTTACGAAGTCATAAAACACACAAAATTAACTGCAGTGTTTTAGTATATTCAGGTTAACCATTCTACATCCAACTCAAGATCTCTGGTCAGCAAGAGTTCAGACTTCTAATTTATCCTTTGCTTTAGCATACCATAATAACGCATTATTTTACACCTGTCAGAATTAAAAACGCATAACTGTATAACACAGCCAATTAAAAAAAAAAAAATTAACAAAGTGGCTCATTCTTCGAGTATATTCTTCATGTTTTATTCAGCAAAACACATTGATTATACTCTTCCTAGTGTCATATGCATTGCATTTATGAAAGTCCTGTTAAATGAAAATGTAATGTGGGCAGTTACACGAGATC